ACTCCTGGTTCTAGACTCCTGGTGCTAGACTCCTGGTACTAGACTCCTGGTACTAGACTCCTGGTGCTAGCCTCCTAGTTCTAGACTCCTGGTGCTAGACTCCTGGTGCTAGCCTCCTAGTTCTAGACTCCTAGTGCTAGACTCCTGGTACTAGACTCCTGGTACTAGACTCCTAGTTCTAGACTCCTGGTACTAGACTCCTGGTGCTAGACTCCTGGTACTAGACTCCTGGTACTAGACTCCTGGTGCTAGACTCCTGGTGCCAGACTCCTGGTCCTAGCCTCCTGGTACTAGACTCCTGGTGCTAGCCTCCTGGTACTAGACTCCTGGTGCTAGACTCCTGGTGCTAGACTCCTGGTACTAGACTCCTGGTGCTAGACTCCTAGTTCTAGACTCCTGGTGCTAGACTCCTGGTGCTAGACTCCTGGTGCTAGACTCCTAGTTCTAGACTCCTGGTACTAGACTCCTGGTTCTAGACTCCTGGTGCTATACTCCTGGTACTAGACTCCTGGTACTAGACTCCTGGTGCTAGCCTCCTAGTTCTAGACTCCTGGTGCTAGACTCCTGGTGCTAGCCTCCTAGTTCTAGACTCCTAGTGCTAGACTCCTGGTGCTAGCCTCCTAGTTCTAGACTCCTGGTACTAGACTCCTGGTGCTAGCCTCCTAGTTCTAGACTCCTGGTGCTAGACTCCTGGTGCTAGACTCCTGGTGCTAGACTCCTGGTACTAGACTCCTGGTGCTAGACTCCTGGTACTAGACTCCTGGTTCTAGACTCCTGGTGCTAGACTCCTGGTACTAGACTCCTGGTACTAGACTCCTGGTGCTAGCCTCCTAGTTCTAGACTCCTGGTGCTAGACTCCTGGTGCTAGCCTCCTAGTTCTAGACTCCTAGTGCTAGACTCCTGGTACTAGACTCCTGGTACTAGACTCCTAGTTCTAGACTCCTGGTACTAGACTCCTGGTGCTAGACTCCTGGTACTAGACTCCTGGTACTAGACTCCTGGTGCTAGACTCCTGGTGCTAGACTCCTGGTCCTAGACTCCTGGTTCTAGACTCCTGGTCCTAGACTCCTGGTGCTAGACTCCTAGTTCTAGACTCCTGGTACTAGACTCCTGGTTCTAGACTCCTGGTGCTATACTCCTGGTACTAGACTCCTGGTGCTAGCCTCCTAGTTCTAGACTCCTGGTGTTAGACTACTGGTGCTACCCTCCTAGTTCTAGACTCCTGGTACTAGACTCCTGGTGCTAGCCTCCTGGTACTAGACTCCTGGTGCTAGCCTCCTGGTACTAGACTCCTGGCACTAGACTCCTGGTGCTAGCCTCCTGGTGCTAGACTCCTGGCACTAGACTCCTGGTGCTAGACTCCTGGTACTAGACTCCTGGTGCTAGACTCCTGGCACTAGACTCCTGGTACTAGACTCCTGGTACTAGACTCCTGGTACTAGACTCCTGGTACTAGACTCCTAGTACTAGACTCCTGGTACTAGACTCCTAGTACTAGACTCCTGGTACTAGACTCCTGGCACTAGACTCCTGGCGCTAGACTCCTGGTACTAGACTCCTGGCACTAGACTCCTAGTTCTAGACTCCTGGCACTAGACTCCTGGCGCTAGACTCCTGGTACTAGACTCCTGGCACTAGACTCCTGGTTCTAGACTCCTGGTACTAGACTCCTGGTGCTAGACTCCTGGTGCTAGACTCCTGGTACTAGACTCCTGGCACTATACTCCTGGCACTAGACTCCTGGTTCTAGACTCCTGGTTCTAGACTCCTGGTACTAGACTCCTGGTGCTAGACTCCTGGTGCTAGACTCCTGGTACTAGACTCCTAGTTCTAGACTCCTGGTGCTAGACTCCTGGTACTAGACTCCTGGCACTAGACTCCTAGATCTAGACTCCTGGTGCTAGACTCCTGGTGCTAGACTCCTGGTACTAGACTCCTGGCACTAGACTCCTGGCTCTAGACTCCTGGTGCTAGACTCCTGGTACTAGACTCCTGGCACTAGACTCCTAGTTCTAGACTCCTGGTACTAGACTCCTGGTACTAGACTCCTGGTGCTAGACTCCTGGTACTAGACTCCTGGCACTAGACTCCTGGTACTAGACTCCTGGTGCTAGACTCCTGGTACTAGACTCCTGTCACTAGACTCCTGGCACTAGACTCCTGGTACTAGACTCCTGGCACTAGACTCCTAGCTCTAGACTCCTGGCGCTAGACTCCTGGTGCTAGACTCCTGGTACTAGACTCCTGGTGCTAGACTCCTGGTACTAGACTCCTGGTTCTAGACTCCTGGTACTAGACTCCTGGTGCTAGACTCCTGGCTCTAGACTCCTGGTTCTAGACTCCTGGTACTAGACTCCTGGTACTAGACTCCTGGCACTAGACTCCTGGTTCTAGACTCCTGGTACTAGACTCCTGGTACTAGACTCCTGGTTCTAGACTCCTGGTACTAGACTCCTGGCACTAGACTCCTGGTACTAGACTCCTGGTGCTAGACTCCTGGTACTAGACTCCTGTCACTAGACTCCTGGCACTAGACTCCTGGTACTAGACTCCTGGCACTAGACTCCTAGCTCTAGACTCCTGGCGCTAGACTCCTGGTGCTAGACTCCTGGTACTAGACTCCTGGTGCTAGACTCCTGGTACTAGACTCCTGGTTCTAGACTCCTGGTACTAGACTCCTGGTGCTAGACTCCTGGCTCTAGACTCCTGGTTCTAGACTCCTGGTACTAGACTCCTGGTACTAGACTCCTGGCACTAGACTCCTGGTTCTAGACTCCTGGTACTAGACTCCTGGTACTAGACTCCTGGTTCTAGACTCCTGGTACTAGACTCCTGGCACTAGACTCCTGGTACTAGACTCCTGGTACTAGACTCCTGGTACTAGACTCCTGGTACTAGACTCCTGGTTCTAGACTCCTGGTACTAGACTCCTGGCACTAGACTCCTGGCTCTAGACTCCTGGTACTAGACTCCTGGTACTGTAGACTCCTGGTTCTAGACTCCTGGTACTAGACTCCTGGTACTAGACTCCTGGTTCTAGACTCCTGGTACTAGACTCCTAGCACTAGACTCCTGGCACTAGACTCCTGGTACTAGACTCCTGGTACTAGACTCCTGGTTCTAGACTCCTGGTACTAGACTCCTGGCACTAGACTCCTGGCTCTAGACTCCTGGTACTAGACTCCTGGTACTAGACTCCTGGTACTGTAGACTCCTGGTTCTAGACTCCTGGTACTAGACTCCTGGTACTGTAGACTCCTGGCACTAGACTCCTGGTACTAGACTCCTGGTGCTAGACTCCTGGTGCTAGACTCCTGGTGCTAGACTCCTGGTGCTAGACTCCTGGTGCTAGAGTCCTGGTCCTAGACTCCTGGTTCTAGACTCCTGGTCCTAGACTCCTGGTACTAGACTCCTAGTTCTAGACTCTTAGTTCTAGACTCCTAGTTCTAGACTCCTGGCGCTAGACTCCTGGCGCTAGACTCCTGGTACTAGACTCCTGGTGCTAGACTCCTGGTGCTAGACTCCTGGTGCTAGACTCCTGGTACTAGACTCCTGGTGCTAGACTCCTGGTGCTAGACTCCTGGTGCTAGACTCCTGGTGCTAGATTCCTAGTTCTAGACTCCTGTTTCTAGACTCCTGGTACTAGACTCCTAGTTCTAGACTCTTAGTTCTAGACTCCTAGTTCTAGACTCCTGGCGCTAGACTCCTGGCGCTAGACTCCTGGTACTAGACTCCTGGTGCTAGACTCCTGGTGCTAGACTCCTGGTGCTAGATTCCTAGTTCTAGACTCCTGTTTCTAGACTCCTGGTGCTAGACTCCTGGTGCTAGACTCCTGGTGCTAGACTCCTAGTTCTAGACTCCTGGTTCTAGACTCCTGGTGCTAGACTCCTGGTGCTAGACTCCTAGTTCTAGACTCCTGGTACTAGACTCCTGGTTCTAGACTCCTGGTGCTATACTCCTGGTACTAGACTCCTGGTACTAGACTCCTGGTGCTAGCCTCCTAGTTCTAGACTCCTGGTGCTAGACTCCTGGTGCTAGCCTCCTAGTTCTAGACTCCTAGTGCTAGACTCCTGGTGCTAGCCTCCTAGTTCTAGACTCCTGGTACTAGACTCCTGGTGCTAGCCTCCTAGTTCTAGACTCCTGGTGCTAGACTCCTGGTGCTAGACTCCTGGTACTAGACTCCTGGTGCTAGACTCCTGGTACTAGACTTCTGGTTCTAGACTCCTGGTGCTAGACTCCTGGTACTAGACTCCTGGTACTAGACTCCTGGTGCTAGCCTCCTAGTTCTAGACTCCTGGTGCTAGACTCCTGGTGCTAGCCTCCTAGTTCTAGACTCCTAGTGCTAGACTCCTGGTACTAGACTCCTGGTACTAGACTCCTAGTTCTAGACTCCTGGTACTAGACTCCTGGTGCTAGACTCCTGGTACTAGACTCCTGGTACTAGACTCCTGGTGCTAGACTCCTGGTGCTAGACTCCTGGTCCTAGACTCCTGGTTCTAGACTCCTGGTCCTAGACTCCTGGTGCTAGACTCCTGGTGCTAGCCTCCTGGTACTAGACTCCTGGTGCTAGACTCCTGGTGCTAGCCTCCTGGTACTAGACTCCTGGTACTAGACTCCTGGTGCTAGCCTCCTGGTACTAGACTCCTGGTGCTAGACTCCTGGTGCTAGCCTCCTAGTTCTAGACTCCTGGTACTAGACTCCTGGTGCTAGCCTCCTGGTACTAGACTCCTGGTGCTAGCCTCCTAGTTCTAGACTCCTGGTGCTAGACTACTGGTGCTAGCCTCCTAGTTCTAGACTCCTGGTACTAGACTCCTGGTGCTAGACTCCTGGTGCTAGACTCCTGGTACTAGACTCCTGGTGCTAGACACCACACGAGCACATGTTCAATGTGAAAAGTGACAGTAGATATAGATTAGTTGCAATTTGGTGCTATATATATTAAAAAAAAAAAAAAAAATATTTTTTATTTTTTTAAACACCTTGAATTTCAGGGGGGGCGAGGGGCTCTGTTGGCGGGGCACAGCGCCCCTCCAAGACAATGGTAGGGGAAACACTGAGGTGTATATCAGCTGAGTGTGTGTGTGTTGCAGGTGTGTACCAGCTGAGAGTGTGTTGTGTTGCAGGTGTGTACCAGCTGAGTGTGTGTGTGGTGAAGCAGCTCCAGCAGAGTTGTGTCACTCACAGCTTACCTGTCAGCTACAGGTACGTTAACAGCATCCTCCTCATGTTATTAATAAAACATGATGTTATTAATAAAACATGATGTTCTCAACGATGCCCCCTCAGGCCGGTGTGTGTGTCCGAGCTGCTCTCACGGCAACACCTCTCCTGCTTCAGTCACCTGTCCTGGAGCACCAATCAGCATCGAGCGTGGGTCCGGGAGGCGGAGCTCTCAGCGCCGGGTCAGGTGCTGCCGAGGGTCAGCCTGCTGCTGATTGGCTGTCTGAGAGAGGGGCGGGACGGAGAGTGGAGGCTGACGGACAGCAGCGGCAGCGTGAGGTGTGAGGTGAGTGGTGCCTTCAGGGAGCTGTTGAGTGGTGCCTTCAGGGACCTGGTGAGTGGTGCCTTCAGGGACCTGTAGGGACCTGTAGGGTGGTGCCTTCAGGGACCTGTAGGGACCTGCAGCGTGATGCTTTCAGGGACCTTTAGAGTGGTGCCTTCAGTGAGCTGTAGGGACCTGCAGCGTGATGCCTTCAGGGACCTGTAGAGTGATGCCTTCAGGGACCTGTTGAGTGATGCCTTCAGGGACCTGTAGAGTGGTGCCTTCAGGGACCTGTAGGGACCTGCAGCGTGATGCCTTCAGGGACCTGTAGGGTGGTGCCTTCAGGGACCTGTAGAGTGGTGCCCTCAGGGACCTGTAGGGTGAGGTGAGTGGTGCCTTCAGGGACCTGTAGGGTGGTGCCTTCAGGGACCTGTAGAGTGGTGCCTTCAGGGACCTGTAGAGTGATGCCTTCAGGGACCTGTAGAGTGAGGTGTGAGGTGAGTGGTGCCTTCAGGGACCTGTAGAGTGGTGCCTTCAGGGACCAGTAGGGTGGTGCCTTCATGGACCTGTAGAGTGATACCTTCAGGGACCTGTAGAGTGATGCCTTCAGGGGCCTGTAGAGTGATACCTTCAGGGACCTGTAGAGTGGTGCCTTCAGGGACCTGTAGAGTGATGCCTTCAGGGGCCTGTAGAGTGATACCTGCAGGGACCTGTAGAGTGATGCCTTCATGGACCTGTAGAGTGATACCTTCAGGGACCTGTAGAGTGATACCTTCAGGGACCTGTAGAGTGATGCCTTCAGGGGCCTGTAGAGTGATACCTTCAGGGACCTGTAGAGTGATGCCTTCATGGACCTGTAGAGTGATACCTTCAGGGACCTGTAGAGTGATACCTTCAGGGACCTGTAGAGTGATGCCTTCAGGGGCCTGTTTAGTGGTGCCTTCAGGGACCCGTAGAGTGGTGCCTTCAGGGACCTGTAGGGTGGTGCCTTCAGGGACCTGTAGAGTGATGCCTTCAGGGACCTGTAGAGTGATGCCTTCAGGGGCCTGTTTAGTGGTGCCTTCAGGGACCTGTAGAGTGGTGCCTTCAGGGACCTGTAGGGTGGTGCCTTCATGGACCTGTAGAGTGATACCTTCAGGGACCTGTAGAGTGATGCCTTCAGGGACCTGTAGAGTGATACCTTCATGGACCTGTAGAGTGATGCCTTCAGGGGCCTGTTTAGTGGTGCCTTCAGGGACCTGTAGAGTGGTGCCTTCAGGGACCTGTGATGCCTTCAGGGACCTGTGATGCGTTCAGTGACCTGTGATGCCTTCAGGGACCTGTGATGCCTTCAGGCTCTCACCTGTCTGTCTCTCTGCAGTGCCTGTCTCCCTCTCCTCTGTGGCTGAACCGTCCTGTCTTCCTGCCTCACTGGAACTACATCCCCCACGATGCACCTGGGTCGGAGGAGGCGGGGGGCTGGGTGGAGCTGATTGGTCCTCCTGTAGTGCTTTGTCCCGGAGCTGAGCAGGGATTGGCTGTCGGCCCTGAGGAAGGGGCGGGGCTTAGCAAAGCTGTGGGAGTCAAAGAGGCAACAGACTTCCTGAAGAACAGGTGAGTGACCTGTCTGTCTCTCTGTCTCTACCTGTCTGTCTCTACCTGTCTGTCTCTACCTGTCTGTCTCTCTGTCTCTACCTGTCTGTCTCTACCTGTCTGTCTCTCTGTCTCTACCTGTCTGTCTCTCTGTCTCTATCTGTCTGTCTCTCACCTGTCTGTCTCTCACCTGTCTGTCTCTCTGTCTCTATCTGTCTGTCTGTCTCTCACCTGTCTGTCTCTCACCTGTCTGTCTCTCTGTCTCTATCTGTCTGTCTGTCTCTCACCTGTCTGTCTCTCACCTGTCTGTCTCTCTGTCTCTATCTGTCTCTCTGTCTCTCACCTGTCTGTCTCTACCTGTCTGTCTCTACCTGTCTGTCTCTCTGTCTCTACCTGTCTGTCTCTACCTGTCTGTCTCTACCTGTCTGTCTCTCTGTCTCTCACCTGTCTGTCTCTACCTGTCTGTCTCTACCTGTCTGTCTCTACCTGTCTGTCTCTACCTGTCTGTCTCTCACCTGTCTGTCTCTACCTGTCTGTCTCTACCTGTCTGTCTCTCACCTGTCTGTCTCTCACCTGTCTGTCTCTCTGTCTCTACCTGTCTGTCTCTACCTGTCTGTCTCTCACCTGTCTGTCTCTCTGTCTCTACCTGTCTGTCTCTACCTGTCTGTCTCTACCTGTCTGTCTCTCTGTCTCTCACCTGTCTGTCTCTACCTGTCTGTCTCTACCTGTCTGTCTCTACCTGTCTGTCTCTCACCTGTCTGTCTCTCACCTGTCTGTCTCTCTGTCTCTACCGGTCTGTCTCTACCTGTCTGTCTCTCACCTGTCTGTCTCTACCTGTCTGTCTCTCTGTCTCTCACCTGTCTGTCTCTACCTGTCTGTCTCTACCTGTCTGTCTCTACCTGTCTGTCTCTCACCTGTCTGTCTCTCTGTCTCTACCGGTCTGTCTCTACCTGTCTGTCTCTCACCTGTCTGTCTCTACCTGTCTGTCTCTCTGTCTCTCACCTGTCTGTCTCTACCTGTCTGTCTCTACCTGTCTGTCTCTACCTGTCTGTCTCTCACCTGTCTGTCTCTCACCTGTCTGTCTCTCTGTCTCTACCGGTCTGTCTCTACCTGTCTGTCTCTCACCTGTCTGTCTCTATCTGTCTGTCTACTCTCTACCGGTCTGTCTCTCTGTCTCTACCTGTCTGTCTCCCAGGTCTCGGGGTCAGCGTGTCTCACCTGTCTGTCTCTCACCTGTCTGTCTCCCAGGTCTCGGGGTCAGCGTGTCTCACCTGTCTGTCTCTCACCTGTCTGTCTCTCAGGTCTCGGGGTCAGCGTCTCTCACTGGTTGGTCAGGTGGTTTCTGTTTGTCCTCAGCTGGACGTTTCAGGAACGTCTTTCTTCTGCTTCTCGCTGGCAGACGACTCTGCACCTGTCTCACTACCTGTCCTCGTCAAGGTGAGTTCAGGTGATGTCAGTTGTATACAGCTGTGAAAACATCTGGATTCATCCTCATTAGAAACTACATTTAACAGGTGTGTGTGTGTGTGTGTGTGTGTGTGTGTGTGTGTGTGTGTGTGTGTGTGTGTGTGTGTGTGTGTGTGTGTGTGTGTGTGTGTGTGTGTGTGTGTGTGTGTGTGTGTGTGTGTGTGTGTGTGTGTGTGTGTGTGTGTGTGTGTGTGTGTGTGTGTGTGTGTGTGTGTGTGTGTGTGTGTGTGTGTGTGTGTGTGCAGGGCAGCAGGCTGTGGTGGGCTCAGTGTGTGTGTGTGGGTCAGCGTGTGTGTGTGACGGCGCTGCGTGTGTGTGTCCTGCGAGGCTGGAGAGGAAACAACATCCTGTGTGTGACCGAGCGCTCTGAAATACACACCGACTACACACACCCCGCTGCACACACACACACACCTGCCGCCACGGCCCCCCCCGCCGGTGATGTCACAGGTCGAGGACTGCGAGGAGACGGAGCCTGAGAGAGACGCCGGCCAATCGGCTGTCAGGATGAAGAAGTCTCGAGTCATCAGTTACCAAGTAAACTTCTTACCTGTGTGTAAGCCGCGCCCCTCTCTTCTGATAAGCTGTTTCCGGTGTGTAAGCCCCGCCCCTCTCTTCTGATAAGCTGTTACCTGTGTGTAAGCCCCGCCCCTCTCTTCTGATAAGCTGTTACCTGTGTGTAAGCCCCGCCCCTCTCTTCTGATAAGCTGTTACCTGTGTGTAAGCCGTGCCCCTCTCTTCTGATAAGCTGTTTCTGGTGTGTAAGCCCCGCCCCTCTCCTCTGATTACCATATGTAAGCCCCACCTCTCTCCTCTGATAAGCTGTTACCTGTGTGTAAGCCCCGCCCCTCTGATAAGCTGTTACTGTGTGTAAGCCCCGCCCCTCTCCTCTGATAAGCTGTTTACTGTGTGTAAGCCCCGCCCCTCTCCTCTGATAAGCTGTTACTGTGTGTAAGCCCCGCCCCTCTCCTCTGATAAGCTGTTACTGTGTGTAAGCCCCGCCCCTCTCCTCTGATAAGCTGTTTACTGTGTGTAAGCCCCGCCCCTCTCCTCTGATAAGCTGTTACTGTGTGTAAGCCCCGCCCCTCTCCTCTGATAAGCTGTTACCTGTTTTAAGCCCTGCCCCTCTCCTCTGATAAGCTGTTACCTATTTTAAGCCCCACCCCTCTCCTCTGATAAGCTGTTACCTGTTTTAAGCCCCACCCCTCTCCTCTGATAAACTGTTACCTGTGTGTAAGCCCCGCCCCTCTCCTCTGATAGGGCACCGTGACTGAGGTGGTGAGCGAGGGGGCGGGGCTGTACGTGATGGACAGGAGGGTGGGGCTGTGCCTGGCCTTTCAGCCGGCTCTGAGGAGGAAGCTGAGAACTGGAGACACTTTGGAGGTGAGACACATTTCACAATAAAAGCCTGGATCTGCTGTTCCTGTGCAGGGCTTTTATTGTGAAAGGGCAGATATGAATATACGTGTGAGGGGCTTTTATTGTGAAAGGGCAGATATGAATGTACGTGTGAGGGGCTTTTATTGTGAAAGGGCAGATATGAATGTAGCTGTGAGGGGCTTTTATTGTGAAAGGGCAGATATGAATGTACCTGTCTTCCTGCAGCTCCATCACGTCCACTTCCTGTACCGGCCCTGTCCCGACTTCCTTCCAAGCATGCTTTGCACCTGCCTGCGCTCCAGCGTCAGGGTGACGTCGTTCAGCGGGGGGTGGGCGGGGGGGTTGTTACCACGGTTACTGCACACCTCCACCTGCCGGGGGGACGGAGCGTTGCCAAGGTTACTGCTGCAGGGGGGAAGGGGCGTGTCCGAATACCTGTGGAGCGCTCACCTGAGCTCAAAGCTGCAGCACAGGTGAGACACACACACACACACACTCACACACTCACACACACACACTCACACTCACACACACACACTCACACTCACACACACTCACACACTCACACACACACACTCACACACTCACACACACACACTCACACTCACACTCACACACGCTCACACACCCACACTCACACACCACCACACACACACACACTCACACACACACACACCACACTCACACACCACACTCACACACACACACTCACACACTCACACACACACACTCACACACACACACTCACACACACACACTCACACCACACACCACACTCACACTCACACACTCACACTCACACACACACTCCACACTTCACACAACACACACACCACACCCACACTCACACTCACACACACACTCACACACTCACACACACACACACACTCACAAACACACACACACTCACACTCACACTCACACACACACACACACACGATATACACACTCACATGATGCATTCAAGGACCCCCGAAATGTGACAAATACTAATGTTTGTCTGTCCACCTGTCTGTCTGTCCTCCTGTCTGTCCACCTGTCTGTCTGTCCACCTGTCTGTCTGTCCACCTGTCTGTCCACCTGTCTGTCTGTCCACCTGTCTGTCCACCTGTCTGTCTGTCCACCTGTCTGTCCACCTGTCTGTCCACCTGTCTGTCTGTCCACCTGTCTGTCCTCCTGTCTGTCCTCCTGTCTGTCCACCTGTTTGTCCATTTGTCTCTCTACCTGTCTGTCTGTCCACCTGGCTGTGCACCTGTTTGTCCACCTGGCTGTGCACCTGTTTGTCCACCTGGCTGTGCACCTGTTTGTCCACCTGGCTGTGCACCTGTTTGTCCACCTGTCTGTCCACCTGTCTGTCCACCTGTCTGTCCACCTGTCTGTCCACCTGTCTGTCTGTCCACCTGTCTGTCCACCTGGCTGTGCACCTGTTTGTCCACCTGTCTGTCTGTCCACTTGTCTGTCCACCTGTCTGTCCACCTGTCTGTCCACCTGTCTGTCCACCTGTCTGTCTGTCCACCTGTCTGTCCACCTGGCTGTGCACCTGTTTGTCCACCTGTTTGTCCACCTGTCTGTCCACCTGTCTGTCCACCTGTCTGTCTGTCCACCTGTCTGTCCACCTGTCCCCCCAGCCTGGTCCCAGGTGTGTTGAAGCAGTGTGTGTGTGTTCTGTCCTGGAAGCTGATGGAGTGTGTGTGGAGAGGACAAGAAGGACAGAGGAGAGACATTTACTGCGAGATGCTGGACGAACCCCACACCTGTCCTCTGTCTCAGGTACACACACCTGTCCTCTGTCTCAGGTACACACACCTCTCAGGTACACACACCTCTCAGGTACACACACCTGTCCTCTGTCTCAGGTACACACACCTCTCAGGTACACACACCTCTCAGGTACACACACCTGTCCTCTGTCTCAGGTACACACACCTCTCAGGTACACACACCTCTCAGGTACACACACCTGTCCTCTGACACACCTGTCCTCTGACTCAGGTACACACACCTGTCTTCTGACACTCCTGTCCTCTGACTCACCTGTCTGTCCCCACAGTACAGGGCGGACCCAGCTGTCCCTCAGGTGTTCAGTGTCTCTGCTCTGATTGAAGGTCTTCAGACAGACAGCTGGTCCTCAGTGTCTCTGTGCTCTCTGCTGCCCCCTGGTGGAGGTCTGTCCTCATCTCAGGTCAACTCAGCTCTGTCCTGGTCCTGCAGGACGCTGACCTCTGACCCCCCCCGGAGACACATCCAGGTACGCCCCCTGGTGGTGATGTTAATATAACGTGTGTACAGATGCCCCCTGGTGGTAATGTTAATATAACCTGTGTTCAGACGCCCCCTGGTGGTGATGTTAATATAACGTGTGTACAGATGCCCCCTGGTGGTGATGTTAATATAACCTGTGTACAGACGCCCCCTGGTGGTGATGTTAATATAACGTGTGTACAGACGCCCCCTGGTGGTGATGTTAATATAACGTGTGTACAGACGCCCCCTGGTGGTGATGTTAATATAACGTGTGTACAGACGCCCCCTGGTGGTGATGTTAATATAACGTGTGTACAGACGCCCCTGGTGGTGATGTTAATATAACGTGTGTACAGACGCCCCCTGCTGGTGATGTTAATATATCGTGTGTACAGACGCCCCCTGGTGGTGATGTTAATATAACGTGTGTTCAGACGCCCCCTGGTGGTGATGTTAATATAACGTGTGTTCAGACGCCCCCTGTTGGTGATGTTAATATAACGTGTGTACAGACGCCCCCTGGTGGTGATGTTAATATAACGTGTGTACAGACGCCCCCTGGTGGTGATGTTAATATAACGTGTGTACAGACGCCCCCTGGTGGTGATGTTAATATAACCTGTGTACAGACGCCCCTGGTGGTGATGTTAATATAACGTGTGTTCAGACGCCCCCTGGTGGTGATGTTAATATAACGTGTGTTCAGACGCCCCCTGGTGGTGATGTTAATATAACGTGTGTTCAGACACCCCCTGGTGGTGATGTTAATATAACGTGTGTTCAGACGCCCCCTGGTGGTGATGTTAATATAACGTGTGTTCAGACGCCCCCTGGTGGTGATGTTAATATAACGTGTGTACAGACGCCCCCTGGTGGTGATGTTAATATAACGTGTGTACAGACGCCCCTGGTGGTGATGTTAATATAACGTGTGTACAGACGCCCCCTGCTGGTGATGTTAATATAACGTGTGTACAGACGCCCCCTGGTGGTGATGTTAATATAACGTGTGTTCAGACGCCCCCTGGTGGTGATGTTAATATAACGTGTGTTCAGACGCCCCTGGTGGTGATGTTAATATATACGTGTGTTCAGACGCCCCCTGTTGGTGATGTTAATATAACGTGTGTTCAGACGCCCCCTGGTGGTGATGTTAATATAACGTGTGTACAGACGCCCCCTGGTGGTGATGTTAATATAACGTGTGTTCAGACGCCCCCTGGTGGTGATGTTAATATAACGTGTGTTCAGACGCCCCCTGGTGGTGATGTTAATATAACGTGTGTACAGACGCCCCCTGGTGGTGATGTTAATATAACGTGTGTACAGACGCCCCCTGCTGGTGATGTTAATATAACGTGTGTACAGACGCCCCCTGGTGGTGATGTTAATATAACGTGTGTTCAGACGCCCCCTGGTGGTGATGTTAATATAACGTGTGTTCAGACGCCCCCTGGTGGTGATGTTAATATAACGTGTGTACAGACGCCCCCTGGTGGTGATGTTAATATAACGTGTGTACAGACGCACCCTGGTGGTGATGTTAATATAACGTGTGTTCAGACGCCCCCTGGTGGTGATGTTAATATAACGTGTGTTCAGACGCCCCCTGGTGGTGATGTTAATATAACGTGTGTTCAGACGCCCCCTGGTGGTGATGTTAATATAACGTGTGTTCAGACGCCCCCTGGTGGTGATGTTAATATAACGTGTGTACAGACGCCCCCTGGTGGTGATGTTAATATAACGTGTGTTCAGACGCCCCCTGGTGGTGATGTTAATATAACGTGTGTTCAGACGCCCCCTGGTGGTGATGTTAATATAACGTGTGTACAGACGCCCCCTGGTGGTGATGTTAATATAACGTGTGTACAGACGCCCCCTGCTGGTGATGTTAATATAACGTGTGTACAGACGCCCCCTGGTGGTGATGTTAATATAACGTGTGTTCAGACGCCCCCTGGTGGTGATGTTAATATAACGTGTGTTCAGACGCCCCCTGGTGGTGATGTTAATATAACGTGTGTACAGACGCCCCCTGGTGGTGATGTTAATATAACGTGTGTACAGACGCACCCTGGTGGTGATGTTAATATAACGTGTGTACAGTCGCCCCCTGGTGGTGATGTTAATATAACCTGTGTACAGACGCCCCCTGGTGGTGATGTTAATATAACGTGTGTTCAGACGCCCCCTGGTGGTGATGTTAATATAACGTGTGTTCAGACGCCCCCTGGTGGTGATGTTAATATAACGTGTGTTCAGACGCCCCCTGGTGGTGATGTTAATATAACGTGTGTACAGACGCCCCCTGGTGGTGATGTTAATATAACGTGTGTACAGACGCCCCCTGGTGGTGATGTTAATATAACGTGTGTACAGTCGCCCCCTGGTGGTGATGTTAATATAACGTGTGTACAGACGCCCCCTGGTGGTGATGTTAATATAACGTGTGTACAGTCGCCCCCTGGTGGTGATGTTAATATAACGTGTGTTCAGATGCCCCCTGGTGGTGATGTTAATATAACGTGTGTTCAGACGCCCCCTGGTGGTGATGTTAATATAACGTGTGTTCAGACGCCCCCTGGTGGTGATGTTAATATATAACGTGTGTTCAGATGCCCCCTGGTGGTGATGTTAATATAACGTGTGTACAGTCGCCCCCCTGGTGGTGATGTTAATATAACGTGTGTACAGACGCCCCCTGGTGGTGATGTTAATATAACGTGTGTACAGACGCCCCCTGGTGGTGATGTTAATATAACGTGTGTACAGACGCCCCCTGGTGGTGATGTTAATATAACGTGTGTACAGACGCCCCCTGGTGGTGATGTTAATATAACGTGTGTACAGTCGCCCCCTGGTGGTGATGTTAATATAACGTGTGTACAGACGCCCCCTGGTGGTGATGTTAATATAACGTGTGTACAGACGCCCCCTGGTGTGATGTTAATATAACGTGTGTACAGACGCCCCCGGTGGTGATGTTAATATAACGTGTGTACAGTCGCCCCCTGGTGGTGATGTTAATATAACGTGTGTACAGACGCCCCCTGGTGGTGATGTTAATATAACGTGTGTACAGTCGCCCCCTGGTGGTGATGTTAATATAACGTGTGTTCAGATGCCCCCTGGTGGTGATGTTAATATAACGTGTGTTCAGACGCCCCCTGGTGGTGATGTTAATATAACCTGTGTACAGACGCCCCCTGGTGGTGATGTTAATATAACGTGTGTTCAGACGCCCCCTGGTGGTGATGTTAATATATAACGTGTGTTCAGATGCCCCCTGGTGGTGATGTTAATATAACGTGTGTTCAGACGCCCCCTGGTGGTGATGTTAATATAACGTGTGTACAGACGCCCCCTGGTGGTGATGTTAATATAACGTGTGTACAGTCGCCCCCTGGTGGTGATGTTAATATAACGTGTGTTCAGATGCCCCCTGGTGGTGATGTTAATATAACGTGTGTTCAGACGCCCCCTGGTGGTGATGTTAATATAACGTGTGTACAGACGCCCCCTGGTGGTGATGTTAATATAACGTGTGTACAGTCGCCCCCTGGTGGTGATGTTAATATAACGTGTGTACAGACGCCCCCTGGTGGTGATGTTAATATAACGTGTGTACAGACGCCCCCTGGTGGTGATGTTAATATAACGTGTGTACAGACGCCCCCTGGTGGTGGGGTTGCTGGAGCTGCCGTCTCCGGCGGGACAGACGCTGCAGCTCAGAGACGGGACAGGGACCGTGGCTTGCGTCGTCACGGAAACCAGCGAGGGAGGGGGTCAGAGGGCGGCCTTCAACACCGCCTGGATAGGTACACACACACACACACACACACACACACACAAACAGTGCATATCTCAATGTCAACATATAATGTGGAAGAATTCTGCAATAAAAATGACCAACTTTGAGCACACACACACACACA